AATCACTTATAGCATTGTGTGGGCGAGGCTGATTTTTCTTTACATCAGTAGTCGTCCATAAGTATATATATAGAATATTTCAGCATTTTATCTTTCACAATTTACAAGTAATAAGTTTAAAAAGACAAATTTTTACAGATATGTTCAGTTTACGCTTTCCTTTGGGGTATGTGCTTTGATCAATTCGTTTCATTTTCAATACCAACTTGGGTGCAAGAACTTTCAATGCTTTTGCCAAATTTGCAGGCGATAGCTTCGATTTTGCAACCAGGAGAAGGCAGACAGATAGACGGATATGCTTAAATTGGTTTATAATTTGATCCTGATCAAGAATATATATATATGTACTTTATGGATTTTCGTCGAGTTTCCTTCTGGATATTGGAAAACTTTTGACAAAATGAATGTCGACCTCATCCTACGGTGATTGGTATAAACGTGGTACAAGGCATTTTATTCAAAGTGCTGGCCAATGTCAAGGGTGGATTATCAGTGACTTCAAATTATTACAAACGTGCTGCCTGAACCATTATTGCCTACCTATTATTTAACGCTGAGTTTCGAAAAAATTATTTAGCTGTTGGAAAATCAAAATCCAAAATCGCCTTCTAACTGGATGTAATTGTGACGGGCCCACCTTCACATAATTCCGGACAGCGTCTAATAACTTTTGTCTCGCATGCACTATGCACGAAAAAAATACCCAAACATGCTACATAGCTCTCCTTCATCTTTCTCGCTTTCAAAGATCATATTTTTGACAGAGGCTGTGGCCCTCCCTATTCAAAGAACTGATTGCCTTAATCAAAAAACAACCATTAAAGTTTAGTTCAATATTGAATTTCACTTTTTTGCAACATTATTAAAAACGATGATTATTCTTCCCTTCCCTTCAATAAGCACTTCAAATACAAATTAGATCCTCTAGTTTCCAACATACCACAACATCCCAATACCCCATAGCAGCTCTCAGTTATAATAATTGATTTTTATACATATCTCCAGCTTAGCTTCCGTTTATAATTTTCATCATTGTTGCATTTACATCAAGTGGTCAAGTATGTCTTGTTTGTTTGGTTTATTTAACTTCGCTGGCTTTTTAGAAGGAAGTGCGTGAGTTTCGCTTCCGTGTCCGTTTCTGTTTTGGAGTTTGGGCTTCCATCCTTTTTATTTTTTCTTGAAGCAACGAAATTTCCTTATTCCTTGCGTTGACTTGCAGAGATAAGTACCGATGTTCTTCCTTAAGCTGTTTATTGATTTCGACTTCCGGGTAATCTTTTTGTAGAACGAGAAAATTCTCTTCGAGCTGCTTTGATGCCTGCAAACACATAAAATTAATTTTGCTATCTTTTATTTTAGTTTGCAATTCGCTCATCACACCTTATCTCCACTATCATCGAAATCAAGGACCAATTTGTAAGTGCCTCGGCATTTCGCATGGCATTTCGGGCATTGCTTCGATCTATAATTGGCATATAAGAATTAGCAAGTAGCTGATTGATTATACAATTCGAACTTTGCCCATATTCACCTAGTGAGGCAATTCTGAATGCATGTACTATGGTATATATGCCCGCAGCTTGTACTGTCTACACAGTCATCCTTATTGAAGCATTCCATACAAATTGAACACAAAACTCCGGGCGCTACAGACATGTTTGTAAGAATCACCTAAAAAGTAAAATAAAGAAATATGCATTCAATGGCTAATATGAAAAATACGTCTTTGTCTCCCATATTCTCCCTATCAATCAATAAGCACTTTCGGACCTATGCGAAAATATATATAAATATATATGTATATATATATATATATATATATATATATATATTTTTTTTTTTTTTTTTTGAATGTTTTATATATATAAAAGTACAAACGCAGATATATGCGAATAGAAAAAATGAATTTCTTCTAATTTGAAGGCTAAATTGCAAAAGTACAAGACTGCCTTTAAAATCGCAGTGGCTTCCAGCAATACGAAGGTAAAGACTGAAAAGCTAAAATAAATTTGACTGATGTTTATTTTGAATATTTTTATGGTTTGACGTTTTTTTCCATGCAATAGACAGATGTTGACGGCAATCTTAACAAGTTAGGCAAGTAAGAAAATTACATTCGGTTGTGACCGTGTGAACTTTTTATACTCATCGCCGTTATTCTACTTTTGTAGATTATTTTATGGAAATTTATATCGTGCATCTATTGTAGTTTACAAGCAACGACCAAGAGAGCGCGGAAAGCGAAAGTGTTCCCTGTGGTCAATTTTTGTCACGGAAAACGGAAATGTTCCCAGTTTACGTGGTATTGTAAACGTGTCCTTTGATCGTTTTAGCCCATTTTCAATACCAATCTGCGTGCAAGAACTTGCAATGTTTCTGCCAAATTTACTTCAATTTTGCGGCCTTACACAGCCGAACGGAAAATCAGACGGACATGCTTAAATCGACTCGAGTAGGCGTGGATGCACTTAATTATCGCAGCACGTTACTGGAACATTGTATTATACTTTCCAAATATTTCGCTACAGTTCTTTTTTTATTGTTACTTAAAGCATTCGTGACAAAGTGATGTGACCGACCTAGTGATAGAGAGTCACTTCTAACAAAAGCGAATCTACAGCACTCTAGCTGGTTATCTTTACACGATAAAATTCGCATAATATGTATAAACAGAACAACGCTGTAAGGGATAACTGTGAACGCCTTTTGGGCGGTTCATGGCCCATCAGCTAAAGCGGTTGGCTGCGTCCCCGGTTCTACTGATCCGAATTGCAGCAACAAAATGTGTCTTCAAACTCAACTTAGCCAAGTAAAATTGCTATTCACCAATACATAACCATAATCCCACTCTATGGTAGCGCACACCTCTGACAAAAGCGAATATACAACACACTAACTGTTATCTTTGTAAGATGCGGTAATAAATGATTGTACGTTTTTCTACTATCTTGAAGCTGATGATCTCTGCAGCCCCCTGCTTGGCTACAATGATATGCTCAACCTATACATAATTATTATAAACATTATTTCATATTGCATTTCTTTCTCTCTCTTTTCACTCTTTCCTGAAAGACATACTAAAGCAACATAAAAGTCCTCAATTTATTTCTGCAAGAATTAGCTAAGATGGGATTCCAGGAATTAATTTTGAATAGTTTGAACACATGTAAAAACATACGCTACCTCCTACAATTTCTAGAGCATTGAACTGAAAAATAAATTTTGTGCCTATTTTTCTATCCACATGTGTATGTAGTTTGCGTGGTCTTTGAAGCTTACTTCTGGGCGTTGCAAACGTTTTGAAAGGGATGAATGTACGTCTCGGTGATGGGTATAGGAACAGGAAAAGGAAAACAAAAGTATTGTCCATTGTTACTTACCACTTTTTCTAACTTTCTGACATCTGACGAATGGATTCGTACTGAAACAGATTATGAGACATTGATTAAAATTAAGAAAAAGCCAGTGCTCAGTGTCCTGCACGCGTCCTCAAATATCGGGCAGAAGAAAGTGAATATTAATTTTTGAAGCGTTTATAAGCAAGGTAAATTGCTCAAGCCAAGCCAAGAGAGAGTGACCTTGAAGGAAAGATAACGATCAAGTGTGTTGATGCCAATCCTACTCCTAAGTCCCAAGTCTAATTATTCTAAATAAGTGCTTTCAATTTTACAAATCTAATAATATGAACGTAACTTAAAGAATATTAGATCCGCCTGAGTGGCCGAGTAGGCAAGAGTCTCGACTAGCAAGTCAATGGCCGTGGGTTCGAATCTCAAGTGCGGTAGAGTTTTTAATAATAAAAAAAAAAAAAAAAAAAAAGCCGATAGCCTTAGATGCTAGTGCTTTTAAGAGTTTAGTCTTAGAATTTATTTCTCTGGCGAAATTAATAATAATAATAATAATAGAAATCTTGATAGTCCTCGGATCAATATTTTTGTCTAAATCAACCTTGGTTTCCTCGCTATTCTGCTTACACTTGGGCTTGACGATCACTGGTGAATCGGAGGTAATAAGAGGAATGTTAACAGCGTCATCAAACGTTTTCCACTTCATTACATCGGCTACTTTACACAGTTTCCCATACGTTTTACCTATTTACACAGTCTTGGCACATGAATCTAACAAAGTTGCCCTTATGCACCACGCCGACGGTGTATTGATTTATATTGGAATAGGCACGCCCGCAGTTGTACAACCTTCCTCGCACCCCTACGCAGCTGTTCACGGTTTCCCTGCGAATAACAGTATTATTAACTAAGTTAACTAAACTAACACGCGCACACACGTGAGTCACGGTGCTCAAACAGACGAAGACGAGAAGGAAAGTAACTCCAATCACTAATTAGCACCAATGAAATATCAAATAAAATAACTAAATGATAATCTGAAAACAAAATTCCAAACCAGAAAGGCCGAATTTACTTATATTATATAGTAAAAATATACAAAATAATCACGAGCTTAAAGAAACATATCCGATCGCAGTCAATGTTACGTCAATATTCCCTCAACATTACTTCATTTAATAATAACATTTTATTTATCTTTTTTTTTGTTTTGTTTAGTAAAATGGATTAGGCCTGTTAGCGATAAAAGCAATTTATCCAGTAGAGAGATGAGTTTTTATCATTTATTGTTTCTTTATGCTTTATCAAATATGCGATGACACATGGAAAGATTGGTGATGTACAATTGATTACAAGCTTAGGCGAATTAAGACTATTGTTTAGACATTTGGAGTAAAAAGCAAAAAAAAAAAGAATTTATTTATTTAAGTGTGATATATTAAAATTGTTTGTTTTGATTGAATTGTTCGCAAGTAAACAGTTGTGTTTGGAAAATATTTTATTTTCAATTAACAGCTGTTTTCTTTTATAAATGCAGTTTTAAACAACTAATACTAACGCAAAGCGTGAGTAGTGTCACTTACGCCTACTTTGACCATTTTGTGAAAGCGCTTCTCATATATTTTCTGCATGCATATAAATGAAAAAATGAATTCTAAGTGATGCCATACGTAATCAGTTCCTTGATTGCACACGGTTACATATAGCTAAATATGTAGGTTGGATTTTCAATTGCAGCACTGCAAATAACTGGGGAAATTTTGATTCTACTGCAAGCATTTACATTGTAAGCAAAACGATGATGTTTTTACGATAGCTAGGCAATATCATATGGTTAATATTTTCAGCATCATATGGTTTTCCAATGATCGTTTATAATTTTATTAAAACAATTTCGTGAATACTAGTGCAAACGCAAAACGCAACGCAAACTATGCGTTGAACTACACACATATAAAAGCAATCGATTTTAGCTTGACGGATCGGGCGCCACACAAAATGTACAATGCAACCATCGTATTTAGTGCTTAAGCCAAAATATTCTTAAATTAGTTGAAAAGAAAAAGCAAATGTAAACGGTCTTCAGAATGGTGCGGTCAATTTTTTTGTTATCATCATCTAAAGTGCACGGTTATGAATTCTTGAGACACGCCCAAGAGGAATTGACAACTTTTTTAAAAAGGCAAGCTCTTTGGTTGTCAATTTTCAGCCATCTTAACTTCTTAAGTTTAATATTTCATTTGAATTTAGGAACAGTGTTAAAACTATTTTATTCGTACCTTACGCTAAAATAGCCCATGATAAATATACCGAAACAGTAAGTAAAGCTCTTAGTCCATGGGGTTATAAAGTCGAAGGAATCCATGTTAAGAAAAACCCTAGCGATGCTATACGTTCTGCCGAAGCCATTTTTATCGGCGGTGGTAATACATTTTTGCTGTTAAAAACCTTATATGATCTGAATTTGGTGGAAGTGATACGTGGAGCTGTTCTAAATAATGGTATTCCTTATATTGGATCTAGTGCTGGTACGAATGTTGCTACACTTTCCATTCATACTACCAACGATATGCCAATAGTTTTCCCGCCCACGTTCGATGCATTGAAGTTGGTTTCTTTCAACATAAACCCACATTACTTGGAAACGGATGCGAGCAAACAACATATGGGTGAAACACGCGATGAACGTTTAAATGAATTTTTGGAATATCAAAAGCGCCCAGTGTTGGGCTTACGTGAAGGAACCGCATTAATTATCTATGATGATAAGGTTACATTAGTTGGAGATAGGAAAGCAAAATTATTCAAACCGTAAGTAATCAATATTGAATAGAAGGGACTGATAGAAAAGTTATCAAATCTTTGGAAATTTATTACTAGATTTAGCTTTTAAAGATAAGCATTTCATTGCTTTTTATATAATTTGTCGCTATTTCATTTTTGTTGACTTTTTCCTTTTAATTTTTTTTTTTTTAGGGAATGTGATCCCGTTGAATTTGATCCACCTTGTGACCTAAGCTTTTTGCTAAAAGGAAATTAATGCATAATATTCTTGATAGCACTTGCAGTACATATGAAAGCTAGTAAAGCAGAAGCCAAGTAATGCGGAAAAACAGAGTCAAATGCATTAGTGACACCCCAGTATTTCTTCTCTATTGTAACTTTTAGGTTCTTTAAAATAAAGTAGCTATTCTTGCAAAACCGATTTGAGCTGTATTACAATCTTCACGGGAAGTAGTGCAAACCATATGTCCAATCATCACTTTTCTCTTTTTTTTTTTTTTTTTTTTTTTTTTATGTTTCTTTTCAAGCAAATACATAAATATTAATTACAAATCAAACGCATTTTATTTCGCTTTATTGTGCATATGGGCATTAAGCAAATATTTATCAAACAAATAAACGCCCAAATCGCATTCAGCTCGTTCCAGTTGTCTGATAAAGTCGGCCAATATTTTCAGTCCGTCCACTTGTTCTTGCAAAAAGTGAGTTTCAATGAAATCACAAAGATTTGGATCGTTTACTTTCGCACCGGTCGCATGAACATCTAAAAGAGACTTTCAACGAGTTCAAGAAAAACTGTTATTATTTTTTATTCGCCTAGTTATTTATGATTTGCTGTTTATTTTTATATGCACCGCTTAACGTTTCATAGACCTTCCGATATATGTAGACGTTAGATGAGACATATATTAATTCACTATTAACATTCAATTATACAATGTGCTTGAAAATAGACTATACTGGTAATAATAAAGTTATGCGAATATATACAGCAGCCACTGAAGTCCACATTTGTTGGATAGCAGTGAATTTCATATTTGATCTCCTGCTCATCGCATCGCTTTTGATGAGATTTTAGTAAATTTACATTATGAATATGCAGAAAGTTGTGAATTAACTTGACTTTTAAGCGGAAAGACCTATAATTTTTCTTTCGTTTTGAAGAAATTCAGCTTTACCCGAAGCAAGACAAGCTGCATTGCCTGTTGACTGCGGAATGGATTCATAAAATGTGCTAACATTTTCATCTGTCAGACAAAAAAAATTATTTCCTGGAATCATACATATTGAATTTATCGATATTTTCCCCATTTCCCCACTATTATTGGTCAATTAGGGCTAGACAAAACTTAAAACTGTCTCCCTATTTTTATTGGCAACATACCATCGCTTAAATGATCGCCATAGGTGTTTTTCAAAATTCGAAGTGTTTTCTTAAACTTAAAGCCATTGGAAACATAATACTGGAGGGAGATTGCACGTTCAATATTTCGTAGCGAAAGTCGAAAAATAAACTAAAACAAACAACAAACATGAATACCTACTACAAATAGGCTGGACAATGGTCAGTTACTTTCGATTAATGTGCGAATCAAAATCGCTTGGACCATGTTTATTGCAAAAATTTTTAACTCCTCAATTTGCAAATATATGACACATTTTTGATTGTTTCCCCTATAGTGACTTTAAAGCATTAAAATAATTAACGTAATATATATATATTTTCATGAACATATCGCGTGTCATCATGGTATCGGTCTATGAAAGGTGCGAGGTAATAATTTTCTTGATAGGTTAACTGACTCGTTCATAATTAATAAAAAAAAAAACAAACAAAAACAATGACGATATATATCCAGCATTTGCATCGAGACAAATATAAAATGTTCATTCAATTTTTGCAATTTTTTAAAATAAAATTTACCTCATTAACTTCCTTCTCCATATTCAATGCCTCGATTAAAGCCTCTTTGGCCGAAACGTATGACGCCTTAGGCTCCGGTACACTGCTAAGAATAATTTGGCCGCCACGTTTATTCATATACTCCATAATTAATTCGGCATGGTGACGTTCTTCTAAGCTAGCTTGTTTAAAAAAATTGAATAAGCCTGTTGTGGCCACATCACTGCGATCAAAATGATAGGCCTAATAAAGGAGAAATCATTGGAAAAACATCACTTTTCGTGGCTAAAGTAATATTTGAAAAAAAATCTTGCCATTGCTAGGTAAGCGTGGCACGCCTTCAATTCCATATTGATTTGTTTGTTCAAAGCATCTTCGCATTCTTTAGAAAAATTTTGACGCACCATTAAACAAAATATACGACGAAATTGCGGATTTAATAAGAAATTCATAATTTTCCAAAAGTATAAATAAAGCCAAATGAAAAATTTTATTGAAATTTCAAAAAACGAAACAGAGCAATAATGAATCTTCCTATCCTTATATATCAAAAGCATAATTCAAATATATATTAATTTTGTTTGCGGCAAGAATAAGAGTTTATATGGATAGTAATGTGTAGTGATTTTTCCTATATAAAGTATACGGTCAGATCAAATCCATTTTTAAATCATCCCCGAATATATATAGAACATTTTATCTCTATATATGCGACTTTCACAGCTCAAAAAAGAAAAAAAAAAAAAAAAAAAGAAACAACGAACAATAATGGTACAACCAAAAATTTCATAATGATCCGAAATATACACGGTTTATAGTTACAAATTATGGGAAAAGCAAGTAAAAACGTTATGATCACCACCTAACACGCGCCTTCAGTTATTTTCATCATAAAATAATCAACATAATATCCTGCTGCAATGCCCAATTGCTTATTTTATGCGAGTCCCGATAAGACGGAGAGCTCGAAAAACAAATCTACGTTGTCCAAAGTTATCACAATAAATTTTTACGTTAAATCATTATTTTGCACAATCTTTTATTCTCAAATCCTAAAAGTTAGAGCTTGTCGCCATTTTTTTATAAGAACTTCTATGCGGGGGCGAATTCAATGGATGGGCTTACCCCATCGAAATAATACATATTTGCTACCAATTATTTGCTGCCAGAATATAATTGCCCACTCTTATACATATCGTATGCATTATAGCGAAATTCATCAAAAATATCATGAAAATCTCGCATCACGGATTGAACATAAAAAAAAAAAATAAATAAATAAATAGACGGACGGGCAGACATGTTTTATTCGGTTCAGAAAATGGTTCTGAATGGGTATTTTCTAATTCTAGGTGGCTTAGTCGATTCCAGATGATGTATATTTTTCGACGTATGTCAGCTAATATGAAATAAATTAATAATAAATCATAAATGTTTTTAAAATATAAAAAAAAAAACGAATTTAAAAATTTAATCAAATTAGACAAATCGCTCTCATTGACACCATTTCTTCATTCTTCAGGAGAGTTTGTTCATATCATAAAGGATTCTTTTAAAAGATATCATAATACATAAGTAATGTGACTTTGTGAGAGCGATTACAAAGTTTGTATCACGATTTATACCGTAGCCTTTGAAGCTATATGAGTGATTTTTTAAAAAATGTAATTAAATTTCTCCTTATCATCCGGCATTGCAGATAGACGACAAAACTTTTATATGTCACCGGTTTCGATTGGTCATGCGACTTTGAGCTCGATGTGATTCATATCGTTGAATAGCACTCAAGATATGAAAGAAAATAGCGCGCAATTATAATAAGTGTGTTGCCGTAGGATATAACAAAATAATTTTTACTTTATATCACGCAGTAATTTTTTTAATCTTTATTTGTCTAAGCCGCATAATATGTTCAATTTGGTAGAGCTGACAGTAAGTAGAAAATTTGCAAAAAAAAAAAAAAAAATTTTTCTTGTATTTATATGTACATATGTAGCCAAGCATACCAAGAAAAAATCACAGATAATGAAATGAGAATTAAAATCAAAAATAAATTTTGTTTTATATAAGATCGCTAGGCGACAATTGCGATTCACCTTCAGCTAAATAGATAAGCATGGCTTTATGTAATAGTGCTATGCCCAAGAACTTTTTTTCTTTCATTGTCCACGTTTTGGCAGGACCATAATAATCACCGCGTTTACAATTCGTCAAATGTTGCAACCCTAAAGCTTCAATAATGGCTGCCTCTCGAGTATAAGCCTCAATCGGCACAATGTTGTGGAAGACATGCAGACAAACTACGCCATTGCCATTAGCCCAGATTTCTAAAATACGATTTAATTTCTTGCTATTTGTCGACTGTTTAGTCGGTACTTTCAAACTTTCCATATTGATGAGTTGCTTCTTCGCTAAAAGAGAAAACAAAAAGGGTAAGATTAATGCAAAATATAGTAAGTGAAGTGAAATGAATTTTAATTATGAGAATCTTGAGCGAAATGTCGAAATATCGCCAACGCTTTTTTCTTTGCTAAAAATTTGTCTTATTACGAGTTGAAGATGTATGCCTGCAGTATGCAGTATGTCCCATCGGGACCCAATACAATAAGCAAAGTCTTGCATAATTTTTTCCCTTAACGTTTAAATCAACTCGGACTCAACTCATAATTATAATTATATATTAGACTTAAAGCGCAAAACAACATGATATGCTTCCAATTCTGAATGCTAATCATATGTATGTAGGGGTGCTTACTTGATATGTTTCTATCTTTTTTTGCAAGTTTTTCTTGCAATTCCTTTTGATGCGAACGTGAATGAACTTTCATGGCTTCATATAAATGAGAATAGGGACGTGACGTTTTTCCTTTGCCAACATAGAAAATTGATTGCAAAAATCGCTGCCACATGTCATACTTTTCTAAATACTTGAAAAGAGAAATATATATTAATTCATTTTAATAGACGAATATTGATTGAAAGGAGTAAAGATGAAGGGCTTTTGTCTCTATTATTTACCATAATTTCTCCAGGTAGATTACAAGAAATGCGGGGATCAATTAACATGTATATAAAGCTTTGCTTGAGATGACCTCCTCTCGCTTTTTTATGATTTACTTTATTATTAGCAAAATATTCCACAGATTTCATCTCATATTTGGTATATTCTTTTTGGATACGTTCAAATTGTTCAACCGATTTTAAAGTGCGCTGTAATTCTACGGAAAATTCTACAAATCGTACATAAATGAAAGTAAAGCATAAAATATGAAAATCTCATCAGTTTTAAGATGTCAACATTTTAACTGACTTGGCTTTGATCGCGCGCATCCGACAGTTAAGGTAGTAAAACAGCGCGTAAACGTTACGTTTCGGTATGTTAAACGAAAGCAAACATTTATCATAAACATAATAATAATAATAATTAAAAATTATATGATATATGTAAAAAATAAAGGAAGATACTGAAAATTATCAATGTTTAAAAATAAAATTCAAAACTTCAAGTATTCTAGTTAAAAAAAAAAAAAAAAAATCAAAATTATATCCGTCATCTTATATAGATAGCCTCGTATCTCGTACCTATACCTATACTCATGTACGTATACGATTTCACCATTTTCATTTAGGGCAAACTTTTGGTGTAATTCATTTGCATTTTAACCTGTTCAATGGCCTGAGGACAATGAACCAAAAGGCCTTTAGATTTCAATACAAAAACGAACAGATGGAATTGGCTATGCTAATATCAACGGTATTCTATAGGGTCTGCGATGCGCACCATCCAGCTAATGCCAGCAACATTTGATCAATCGCCACCACATTGTTAGTGTGGAAATAAATAGATTTGAAAGTAGCTAAAATTAAATTCTTCCTGCATTTACTTACTCAAAATATTATTGTCTAATTTTTTTTTCAATGCTTGCGCAGCTGTTGTGTTGCGTTTATATTTGATTAATTTTTTGATGTATAAGCGCTTAGTGCTCTTAGTAATCGGTCCAGGTGGCGCTCCAAATGAAGTCAATTCGGCTCTTAGAGCGTCAGTTTCATAATCAAGAGGTAGCGCAAAATTTGTCAACTGCGTATTGCATGTGCTATCTAAATCATTTACCTTGGAATCTTGAGATTGCTTTGGTAAACTTTTATCAAAAGTAAACAATTTTAACAAAATAGTTAATCGTTTTATACAGTTTTGGAAAGAAAAAACTGACCCGTTATCCACTTGCAAACATTGCTCTGCCATCGTATTGGCCAGATTGCTTAACAATTTCGTTTCATAGAACACTAAACCGTTCTCGTCGTCTGTGTGAACGTACGCTTCAGTCATTTGCAAAAAGTACTCTTTATTACGCGGGGAGCATACAACAGAAGCTTCCTGTTCTCTTTGCGTTGAGTGATCATTTTCGTGATCAGTATCATTCTCTGCGTTTATTATTACTTCTGATGCCGTATGATAGCTGCTATCCAACGGTGAGCTTTCATTTAATAAATCATCTTCGAAATTTAAAATTTTAGCTTTAACAACATTTTCGAAAACTTTACTTAGCGAGTCCTGAGAGTTCAGAATTATCGCTTTTTCACTTGTTTCCAATAACTCGGCTTTCTCACCTAAGAAACGAGGGAGTGTATTGCGAGCATCACTCTCTATCTTAGTATCTAGCTGTTCAAAACATTTTTCTTTCACTGCAATGTTAGTGAAATTATAATGTTCATTGTCCATTACTTCATCAATCATATTGGAAATATTATCAAATTGTTTTATTATGGATTTACGAGCTCGAGATTTTTGTACCTTTTGTCGCCATATGTCAATAATGGATAAACGAGATCTTTCCGCATAGCTATTACTTTGTGCTAGTTCTTTGAGATTCTCCTCAGTTAAGGTGAAAATATTCACCGACTGTGTATTAACTCTATCAGAATATGAACCCGAGATCTGATTATAGACAAAAATGAATTTCATTCTTTAAAAATGTATATAAAAGATAAAAATCAGTTTTAATACCCTAGAAGCGGAAAGATCATCTGCCGTGTCCTGCCGTGGTATTATGTATGGTTCTTGCTGTATTAATTCGGGAAATTTGGGTTGAGGTTTATGCCGACGATGCGTTATGTTAATATAATAAGGTGAGGTTACATCATAATTGTAGTGTAAACGATTCGGTGTAAACTTTTCCTTTTCGTTTACGCCAGAAGAGTTATCCTGAGAAATTTTCAATTTCTGTAAAGCTTTGTTAACGTAATTGTCATCTGATGCTGAATCAGTATTATTAAGTTGTAGCGTAGACTTGGCAGATGAATTGGCGTTAGCAGATTGTTGTGAACATTTTTCAATACTTGAAATAGAATGCTGCAAAATGTTTGTCATATTTTTCTTTTTTTCATATTTTTTCAGAAAGATATGGTCGCGCATCAATTGTACCACTTCGAAATGGCACTCCTCAATAGCATAGAGGAGAGGAGTTTTACGATCAACGTCGTAGATTTCTAAATCGGCATCGTATTGCTGTTTGGAAATGAATAAAATTGAAAAGAATCATAATAATAATGCTGCGATTCTTTTTTATTTTACCAATAAAAGTTTGACAATCTCCTCGCGTCCGTATATAGCAGCTATATGCAATGGTGTCATATTATCTTCACTGCATACATTAGGATTTGCTAAGAATGAGAACAATGTAAATCAAAATATGCATATAAAGGAAAGTTTATGTAAATAACTAACCGCCCATTTCCAAAAACCTCTTTGCCACTTTAATAGCCAATTGTGTGTTTTCCATGCCGCAAACATAGTGCAGCGGAGCTATGCCATGATCTTGTGGTACATAAGCAGGATCTATATTTTCATTACGTTCTAGTATATAAAATATATCACTAAAAATATAGTATGCCCCGTTAATGTAAATAATGATGACCTCTTTTTTCCACTCATTACTTACCTTTCATTTGCATCTTCTAAGGCATCCAATAGTATTAATGATAAATAGTTGGTTTTTTTATCCATAGCACTAACGATTAATGATTCGGCTTTCAATTTTATTTCGTAAACCAAAAATTGTTTCAATTTTTTATTTAAACATTTGCAAAGCTTTTTACTTCTTGTTAACTTTAGTTTAAAATAAGTCTTCCTTTTGGAGTAATGCAATTGACAGTGCAGCCAGATCGATCATTTTTTGAAGATCAGTTTTTAAGTGAAATTAAACACACAGAGACGCTATAAAAAAGTATCAATTTATAGGAAGCATTGTAAAATATTGTCTAACGGTTTCAGACATACATAAAAAAAAGTCAAATATTTTGTGGAAAATTTTTTTCAGAAATATTTAAAGACAACATAAGAATGAGGGTCGAAACGAAAGAATTTAAAAGAGTAAGCAAAATTCTCACTCACACATCTTTGTCTTTTTTGTTTGAAAAAAAAAAAACTAAAGTTAATAAATTGTATATTGTATGTGTATTTAGTAAACACCTATAATCGACTTAATCTAAATGAATTTTGAATAATGTAACGCAAAGTTACAATGCATATTCGTGAGAAGTGGGCATGGAAAAAATCATAAAAACATCAAAAAAAAAAAAAAAATCGTCGGAAAAATAGATTGAAAGAATCCACAAAATTCATAGAATATTGAAAATCATTTTATATCAAAATAATTCGAGTAAAAAGAGAATTTTTTTCTTTTAAATCGTGTTAAATCAAATCTCGTGTAAGTGAAATTAAAGAGAAAAAAAAAAGAGAATTAAATGTATATATACTTTATTTTCTATTTACATAGTTGTGTTTATATATCTCTTAGCAAAGAATGAGGGGGTATATTCATTTGATTAGTGTGTTTGCGAGGACCATTAAGAAGATTTAGAGTCTTCGAAATGTACGTATACTCTTGATCAGCATAAAACTCTGCATCGATTTAAGCATGTCCGCCTGTCTGTGCGTTTAACGTCTGCTGTAAACATCGAAGGTAACGACTTCACATTTGGCAGAAACATTAGAAGCTCTTCCTCGTAGATGGTATTGAAAATTGACCAAATCGGTCGAAAGACACGCCTACAGTACCACGTAAACTATGAACACTTCTGTTTTTCAAAAGGAATAAAAAATTGCTTTTTCTCTCATTACTCAGGTACACAGATGGCAGATAAATTGACAAAAATGGCAACAAATATTTTATGGGTGATGCTGTAGCACGTGTACAAAAGTGATAAAAATTGACCATGTCTACCCACTGGTATAGTGTATTGAAATTGCATTTTTTTTCAATGCCTTTATAACGCGCAGCACCAAGCCTTAAAAACTCCATAATGTTTTTCTAAAGTGCTTCGCCAGTCTAAAAGTATGAATGTATTTAAGCATATCCGTCTGTTTATCCGTTTAAATTTGTGTAATATCCGTGTAATATTTGTGTGCAAAGATTTTCCGTGTGCGGACAAAGGAAATTATCGCCTACAAATTTGCAAAATTATTCTATTTGAAATTAAAGAAAATTAAATGTGAACTATGCTCATTCTCTAGGAATTATATAAAGTTTTTTCCAAATAATTTATCCAAATTCTATAGAGAATGCGACAAAAGCACTATTGGGATAGATAAAAGAAAGAAAGGACAATATATAAAAATTACATAAAGATGTAAAAAAAGTCCATTCAACGTACGTGCAAGTTCGAAAGCATTCAACCGATCTTCGGAATGGAAAGCATATATTATTATATCTATCACAGCAATATACTAAATTTGTCAAATATTCGAAATGCGTAAAAGAAGTATCCATCAGATTTTTCCATCGTTTCACATCACTTTCGAGTCGAAAAAAAAATATTTAAGTCTAATCCGGCCACATGTTTTTATAACGAATCATGTCACAATGTTACTTTCAGTCCCTTATAACAATCATGAGAATAATTAAATTGCTCCTGTTTATAAGTTATTTAGAAGCCTAAAGTATTATATGCAGCCCTATATATATGTATGTATGTACTATATACACAATGTTGAATATATGTATGAAAAAAGTTTCTCGCCGCATCTCTCTTCCAAAGTTTGTCGGCGATTAGATCTCGCCTATTCAAGATACGGGATTCCTATAAGTCACACTATGTTAGGATTCGTTATAAAGACAAAAACTTTTCATTTTGATGCCATGACTAACTCTAAATTTTTTGAAATACAATTTTCAAAATATTCAAAAATATTAAGGTCAACGCTTGGATGAGCCTCAATGATTCATCATGGTCGGATTGGGTTTACCATATTTTTGCCTCACTTATAAATGGCTTTTCTTTTATTTTGGATGCGAATCTTTGATTCAAGTTAATGATTTTCGATCACAGCTTGAGAAGAGCAAGATAGAGAAACTTTAGTGTCTCAGTTAATGTTGTGTTTGTGAATTTAACTGACCTATGAACGATTACTAAATCAATTCATACACTTTATCAAGAATATATATGTATGCCCTCCTTTATCAAGAGCATAAATATATTCTCTGCACTGCCCAACTAATCATCTTAAGCATTGTAAATAATAATTGTTGGCAATGTTTGTAAATCGGTTCGAAAACGAAATGATTAATTCGTCAATAAAAAAATTCCGCTTTAGCATGGGACGTAATTGGGAAAAGTCTAGAAATATATTTTTATGATTTAATTAGTATGGATTGAATTTCTCTGCGACTTTTGAAGGAACATAACAAGTAGCGTATGCTTATTTTAGTTTGTGTAAATGCTTTTATGTGCGATTAAAGCTTCGTTTTTGATTTTATGCGATTTAAAGAAACTGCGAAAAATTTCAAGGGAACAGCGAGTCTTCAAGCGTTTTTTTTTTTTTTTTTCTTATTTTTTTTATAAAATAAATACGACTTTATTAAAGGAAAGCTTATTAAATCGCATAAATTTTTGCACATATGTAAAAAACAAAAAATAATATCACTAATTATTGCTCGTCATACATTTTGAAAATATTTAAATTTGTTTTTTCTTGTTTTTTTTTTTTTTTTTTTTTTTTGGGTAAAAAGCCATTTTTCATTTCAAAACTTCGACTTTTTATACTTGGGATATATATCAAATTATCACTTAGCTTAATGAAAAGTTTATTTATTGTCAATTTGTAAATGTTCTTTTTGTTTTTGTTTTTTTTTTTTGTTTTTTTTTTTTATTTGCATTTTTTATATATTTAAAACATTGGTGAAAACACGCTATCCTTCGATGTATGCCTTACGTTTCTCGATAACCGCCTTATAATAAATAGCTGAGTGTTTCGCAACACGTTCTTTATTAACACTTGTCATGTTCACATAATACAATCCAAACTTTTCACTGAAATGTGCAAAAAAAAAAAGAAAAGAGAAACACGAACATTAGGCTAGTGAAAGATATGGGTCGATACCGACTTAGGGTACCTTTTTATGAAAAATATGAACACAGCAATATAACAAAAATTAAGTTAAAAGATTTCTTTAACAGAGAAATAAAATCTAAATTTTCTCTAATGCGTGCGACTCGAACCTTGAAACAAGTAATTGGTTCATTTTTGTTTTCATCCAAGCAGATGCATTGTCAGGGCGTTTATTTTTTTACCTATCCATGCTTAAAGTCAATATAACCTGTCTTTAGATTGCATAGGTATATACGCGTTGATTGCTATGTTCACTTTAAGTGCACTAAAAAACGTTAAACCGAATTATGGAAGCAATGTTAGATTGTTTTCGTACATCACAATAAGAATTCAGTGAATGAAATGAACGTGCAAATTTTAATACTTTATAGCTCAATAATTTTTAGACTACGTAATTATATCCTACACCACTTGTGGTACAGCGACCCACCGTATTATACCGATTGATTCCGAATTGTAATCTTAATTGATTTAAGTCTGTCTGTCCGCTTGTCCGTCGGCACGTCTCATGTCTGTCCATATAAATTTTTGTTCAAGCTACAGATCGCAATTTTGAAGATATTTCAATTAAATTTGGTCCAGTGACCTGTTTTTACCCAAGGACGACCGCTATTGAAAATGGTGCGGATCACTCCACTTTTTCGATCACTACCTATATAACGTGCTCTCCGGAAAAGTTGTGATATGGAAAAAAAATTACAATATTTAAAATTTTTCAACAAAAGTGGCTAAGTTGTCGCATTTAGGCATTCTAAACTGGTATGATTACTTTTGACCGGCTGGAGCAGTTTTTGTACCCGCCCCCTCCATATAACGCAAACCGATATTTATACGATAAAAATGTATATTTTTCAATGCTTCGCGATGAAAATTATGTAATAATAATAATTTAACATAAAAAAAATTGACTTTGCTGAATTTGGACCATCTTAGCATATTTTTTGGATCCTAGACTAATAAGGATTTTCATGAAAATTGACCCTTTATAGAGCGGAAAAGCCTAAGTTTTAATATGTGGTCACGGAAACTGACAGATAATATTATAGTAATTTCATCCAAACATGAAGTGTACAAAATTTGGACCATCTACGCCTATTTTTGGCTCTTACCCTATGTAAGGATTAAACTTGTACAACATTAGGTTTTTGCGTTTAGGATATGGCTTTGTGGGTACCCTTCGCCATAAACACACACATGAAAAATATGCTTTTATATAGAAAGAAAGTATAATTTTTGTGCTCTGTGATAAAAATAAGAATTGTGTTAGACAACGTGGTGTAGGGTATTTAATGATCGGCGTTACCCGACTATAATGTTCTTACTTGTTTTTTACTTTAGTTAAATGCAATTAGCATAAACTTACGTATAACCGCGCTGCCATTCAAAATTATCGATTAAACTCCAATGCGTGTAGCGTGTAACATTGCAACCGCTATTGAGGGCATTTAAAACGGCTTGCAAATGAGCCTGCAATTGCATTTATATGTACAATACAAGATTTACTGTAACAAACTTTACATTACGTTATACCTTCAAATAATCGATACGTTCGTAATCCATTAACTCGCCGTCATCCGACCAACCATTCTCTGTTACAAATACTTCCACATTATTGTAATTAATACGTATCCAACTGATTGAGAGAAAGTAAACAAATTATTTTAACTTTAACATTTTAAACAATTTTCTATCCTTTACTTTAATAAGTTCTCTAGACCCTCTGGCACGCAATATAACCAAACCGATTTAGCGCGTTTCCACTTGCTGTCCACCTGAAAGCGTAGTCGTGAATCGTATTCCCACGAAGGTTGTTTGCGTGGCGGTGCTTTCGCTTCTTCAACATAACGTGAAGTATAGTAATTTAGTCCGAGAAAATCTGCTGAGCCTTTTACAATTTTGCTCATCTTGGTATTGATGGTTTTTAACCGCGGCCAAGCTCGGCCCTCCTTTTGACTGTTCTCATTGATGTCTTTAAGCATAACTGGAGGATAATTACCGCTTGGACCAAATATGGGGTAAGCCAGCCAACCCAGCTTTAAATGACAAGAATAGCTCTAATAAATAACAAACACTAAGACGGATGGATGGATGGATTCAATTATCTAAAGCAAGGACCGATTTTGTTGATTTACGAAAACTTAACTTCAAGTATTTAAGTCAAGCGGTGCGAACAGATTGAATAAGTAACGTTCCTTAAATGCACTCCAAGTTAGCGAGGGCAAAATTCGTTACGATTCATTTTGTCTGCTGGAATAACAAACAGTCGTAACAAGGTCTCTCAGTCTTTGCGATATTGTAAGTACCTCAATACTTTGTTTCGGAAAATCGTGTTTAATAAATTATGAAACAACATTTTTTTTCTAAGCTTTTTTTCAATGCATTAAACGGTAGAAAAGTACATTTTTTCCACTTATATGACTACTCATGAACGCTTAGTGCACTTGAGATTTCGTAGTGCAAGAAATTCGTTTTTTCCTAAAGTCTACACGTTGTACACGTGCATCGAATCCATTCACTTCTGTTGATGGGAATTTTTCTATGCTGTGGAGTTAGTCTTTTCACAAATATATTGCCGAATGCTTTAAAAGTGATAATAAAAAGCTTTGTTTTTTTTTTTATGACAAATTTTTGATTGAAACTTTCAAAATAAATTCGCGTACAACTTACACCGTATTGCATAGCTCTATCAATTATTGTGGCATTATTAGTCTTTGAAAAATAGTAACGGCTACTAATGGTTATGCCAATCTTGCCATTTTGCTTGTCCTTAAATTCCATTTTGTAAAGCTGGTAAGTCTTGGCATGGGCTTTTAAAGTGTTATCCATGCATAGGTAGTCAGCTACGCCGGAATCTTGACCAAGAGGAGGGTAATTCCCATCGCCATAACCAGGTATGCAATAGTCAAAGGGTTCGTTGAATGTTATCCAATGCTTGACACGATCACCAAATGATTCAAACAGCAAACGAGCGTAAGCAACAAAATAATCAATAAATAAATAATTTGTAAAACCACCATAGAGATTTAATGCTTCCGGTAAATCATAGTGAAACATAGTGACCAATGGCTCGATGCCGTTGTCAAGTAATTTGTCGATCACTGTGTTATAATAGTCAATGCCCTTTTGATTTCTGGAGGTTATATCTCCATTAGGTAAAATTCTTGACCAAGATATGGAAAAACGATAAAAGTGCACCTAGAAAATAAAATTAAAAAATTAAATTCATTCCGTTACATGCACGGTATTATCACCTTTTTTTGATGTTATACACTATAAGGACAATTATGGGGATTAACGTGATAAAGTCTTGGAATACTTTGTTGGTTATTTGTGATCAAGAAGCATTTTGCAATGTTCAATTTATTTCGAAATCGTGATATAGTACCTGCGGCTAGGCTAGATTCAAAAATTTGAATATATTTTCTCTTTTGTAGTTTTTTCAAATACCGCATAAACAATTAGGTACAAGGACATACATTTCGGATTTCACTTTGAATCTAATATTAAACATACATAGTTCGTCAGCTTTCGCATAAATTCGGCTTACAAATTAGCTTATAAAATTAATAATTCCAATTTTTTTTTTTTTTTGCGAACAGATTTTGAAAAAAAATTTTAAATTTACCCCTAACTCTTTTAAGGCTTCCAAATCTTTGTCGAATAAATGGTAGGAATCCGGTCCAACATCGCCGTTTGAATGATCGTCTATCATGTTGGAATGTTCATGGGTAAAAGTATCCCATATAGAAGGACCTCTTCCATCTGCATTCCAACCACCTTCGATTTGATAAGCCGCTGTTGAAACACCAAATTTAAACTCTTCAGGAAATTCTCTATATGTATCTGACGTTTCCACTAATTTACAAGCGCCTCCATTAAAGGACTGAACTCCAATTGGGTAGAAGAGAGAAAATGCAGCGTGAAAACTATATATAATCAAAAATTAAGTTTATTTGAAATAAATTGAATGTTATGGAAAAATAAACACTATTATTTAAACATGTATGCATTTGTGAACCTGAACAATAACACAGCTTTGTTGTGCATAATATTTCACTGTCAACAACTTACTAAATGGATTTGCATCTCCTTACCGGCGCCCGTAAATAAATAAATATTGCATTTAGTAAATAAAAACTGATAAGAATTTTTGCTGAACTACGTTCATGCCATTCATAGAATGGTTCTGTTTTGAGCGATTTTATAAATTTTAAATTAATCATTTGGAAAATTTTTCTTAACCTACTTTTTTGCAAATAGATTTTTATGAAACTTAAAGGCAGATAATTGCATTTAAATAAATAAGAAAAGAATACTTACACCTACAATAGCTTTCCCGTGCATTCCATCTATGGTAGTTTGTTTCCATAAATATTAAAGTATTGATACGCGTGAAATGCAAAAAATGTCGACTAGATACCTAAATAAAAGATACCTCAACTTAAAATATTGATATATGATTTGAGTTACACGCGATCACGGAAAAGTCAAAACTTGTAGTTTTGTTCGTGAATGTTAGTGGGTTATCGAACTGCGGCTTATCAAACACATGCATTGAAGAATACGAATCACTACATATGCATATAGAGAAATTTTCGCTGAAAGGGAAAAAAACTGATTGCTATGTAAACAAATAAAATTAATTTTTTGTGTAAGCTACACTCGTGATCTAAGCTAAATCGCTTTAGTGGAAAAGGATATATGGATTGAGAATTCCTACTAAAGTAAAGCTAGCTTTTAAGGAAGAGCGTAGTGATAATTTCGAGGAATGAATAACGGAAATTTTAATAATAAGAACAAAAAAAAGAATACTTGCAATATCGAATTATTCTAATAGCTGAGTGCTAAAGTGAAAAACTTTCTTTCGTAGAATTAAGGAAATACCACTGATTTACCCAACTTACCTTTAAATAAAAGTTCAATAAACTTTTCAAAAAAAAGTTTTATTAAGTTGAGCTTTGTTCAGGGTTACCAGCTTTTAAGAAAATTTGAGAACATTTTTTTTTTTTTTTTGATAATCGTTTACTTCAATCCTTTATAATTAAGAAAAATTCTAATAAATTCATTTTTATATGTCATAAATTATTTTTATATCGCTTCGATTGTTTACTTTATTTAGTTTTATTATCAATATGCTAAGAGATGGTAACACTCTAAAATGTAAACAAATGTTTTCTTGTGGCGTCTGATGTTGCTTTGAATATGGTAAAATTAATAAATTTGCCAAAGAATGGTTTAATTAACAAAAATATAGCAAAATTCTATCAGCCATCAAATAATGAAATTAATAAAAATTTTAGTGAATATTTTGAAGGCAATTTATGCTACAATTTTAAAAGGATAATTAAAGATGTGTGTTCCGAAGAAGCTGAATCTATTCATAAAGGTAAAGGTTACTATAGTTGATAGCTTCAATTAATTGTAATTTTCTTCTTTCATGTGTTCTTTCATATGTAGCTTTATGTAATTACACTTATGAAAATTATGTGGAATGTTACGAAAAATTACAGCCGGTGTTTCACTATACAGAGGATATTATGAAAAGTAATTGTGCATATCAAATAGATAATTTGCAACTTCAATGGTTGGGTAGTAATACGAAATGGATTCAGTCTACGAACAGTTCAGCGACTCATTGCTTAGAGAATATTTTGTTATTAACTTCTTTATTAGAAAATGGTTTGGCGAATATCTTTTATACCGTCAGCAATGGGAAAAAACCGCCACATCTATTAAAAGATTTAATAAACTGCGAAGAGTTGAGAGATGTATTTGATATAGAAGTGGTAGGTATCGTACATGTATTAATGTATTTATATAAAAAAGTTATAACTATTTTAATTAAATTTTAGATCATATTTTTGAAGATTCTAATGGGATCACCAAATTCTATAAATTTGCGCAATATTGTGTGGCATGGTTTTCCTAGAATTGTAGATATACCAAACTACTATGCCGACGTACTTTTACTAACTATACATACTTTAGGTTCTGTGATAAAAGCCAAGAATTTCAAAATAACATATAGGCAACAAATAGTAGATTTCGGAAATTATTTTCCAGAATTCAGTAATTTTTTTGAAATTGGTATGTTTGAGTCGGAACGATATCACGACGATGTATTGAAAACTTATAGTGAACTGGGGAACGATTACTTAACCATTTGGTCTCAGTTATTTCGGCTTTATGAAGAGAAAGCTTATGTTAGGTTTTTTATGTTAATTCTTCCACAAATCGAGTTGATTTTGCGGTTATATTATGGCGAAATGAATAATTATGACGTAACTGCAAAATTGGATGAGTATTACATTACATTGGATACTATCTTTGAAAGTCTAGTACCTGATCCAGAAAAACGTGAAAATAAATTATTGGATTTTGAAATAATTGCCTTCGAAGGCTGTTTTAAATTAATATATGACATCTTCGTTGCGCCGAGTGGCTGCCGTTTAAGAGATAAGATCAGTCACGGTGAAGTTGACTTGGAGGCTGCTTGTAATAATTCTCAGCTCTGTTCAGTGTTAATGCAACTTTTTCTCAATTTATTGCTACCTGAACAGTTGAAAACTTTGGAAAATTACGAAAGTCAATTGCATTTAAATTGTCAAACCAAAACAGAAATTTTAAAATTATATAGTGAAATTAATATTTTTGTAAAAATCGATTGTGTGAAATTAGAGAAGCCATCCAAATTCAATATGTTTTTAAATTGTAATGTTTTGATCTTTCGACGGCCAAAAAAAGAAGTAGTTTTCATGTCATTAATAAAAAGAATCAGTCAATATATTTGTCAAACGGTAGCCAATTATCGAACGACGTTGGGTGAGCGTTTAGCGTTGTTATCAAATTATCAGTTGCATTCTAAGCGACGCAAAACATTGGAAAATATCCTATATACGCTACCGCAGATTTTTGATAATTTAACGGAAATGTGGGAATCGATAGCCGACATCTATGTATTGCTGCAAAACCGACCGACAATTATCTTAAGTGATGGCCAAACTATGGATAGAACTTTGAGGTATTATATTGCTGCCATATATTAATTAATGTGTTAAAAAAAAAAAAAAAAAAACTATTTTTATTCCCGCGTATAGATTTCTTAAACATTCTTTGGCAATCAGTGAGAATTGGGTAAAATACAGTCATCCCGAAAGCAATACTTGGATTAAAGTTTTAGAGTTGTGTCGCAAATTTCAAGAATTTAAAAGCAGACTGTTTCCGGAAGTCAACTAACTTTAAAACAGTTTCGATAAACATCATAAAAGATCAGAATGTACGTGAACTTTGTTATTTTTACCATAAACAAAATATGGTTAATAAAGTATATTGCATTCAATTTAAGAATATTCTTCTCTAATCTATAGTCCAGCATTTGATAACCGTTCTTGGGCTAATCATAACAAGGCAAATCAATATGTAGTCCATTCCATAAACTATCTAATCGTATTGCATGATTACGTGCCTGTCCGCCGGATTTACAAGAGATACAAATTGATTTCAAACTCATCTCTTCTTACTGCTAGTAATTCGATTTGACAATTCAGTTAGATTCCACAAATATTAAAATTGACGAGGTACAAATCTATCTCTTAGTTTTGTGCATATTATAAACAGTCGTTCTATAATCCGCTAATAACTGTGCGCGTTTTTTGCATATCTTGAGTGTATTACCTTTTGTGAATGTTATTTCCTAAGCCGTGTGCTAATGATCCGTCTTAGTTAGGTTGTAAATGCATTGGAATATTTCGGTATGGTCAAAGCTCCCGTATATATGTTACGGAATACATTTATACTTCTCTTCAGCTTGGGAGACAAAAGCCCACTAAAACAGGCATTTACTACATATAAAAGATTTCATTGTAAAGACAATAAAACTTCAGCTTTTAAATGAAACTTATTTGTCTTCATATTTTTTTACATATTTTCAATATGTTTGTTATTATTAGTATTGCGGCTTTTTTGTAACATTATTGTACAATGAATAATTTATACTACCTCGTTTATTTATTTTTTTTTTTATATTTCAATTTTTTTTTTTTTTTAATTACAAAACCGGATTTACGGCTGTTTGACCCCATTCAACTAAGTCCGGCAATGTGTTGTACATCTTTTCCTATATTCATACATTTTAATAATAACATTTGCTCATACATTGACATTACATAAAGTTCATTATAATTATGCATAATATATGAATTGAATTTAAAATTTTGCCGTCAACTAGCCAATCGCCACTGGACGAAGTCGACTTTCGAATTAAATTCGCTTTTCGCGAATAATTGCTATCCAATAGATTGGCGATTGAAACGAAGCATACAAATAAAGTTACATTGTAAGTGCTCCAACCGACATAATTGCTACATTTCTATTTGGTGGTTGTAGCTTTAAGGAAAGAACTGCGCTTATTTCTTACATTGACTCTAGTTTGAATCTTGAGCTATTAAAATCGACGCACGTCATCGTTGCAGCGAACAATAGGGATTCCCGGAAAATCGGGCTTTCTGTTAGGGCTTGAGCCAGTTAGTTAACAATCCCTTTTCTAACTTTTTATTTATTTTTTTATCCCTTTGTGCCCAAGTTTTTGGTTTTCTCAGAGCAATTTAGAGACGACATAGACTGGAGTCGTTCAGAATTATATTTTGAAAAGTTTAAAAAATTCCAAAAGAGAAAGAAAAAAAAAATGGGAAGAGTAAACACATATTTATCGTTATTAATAACAGATCTAAATCGAACCTTTGATCCAAATATTTATCAGAGTTTCCTGGAAGCTTCTGCATAAAAGCGGTCTCGATTTTGATTCATGCGATATGCTATCAATTATACGAATAGCCGAATAGCTCAATAGCCAAGATTCGTTTTAAGGTGAATTTGGAACTTTTTACCGGTTTATAATTATTTTTGGAGGTTAAGTTGAGCTTTTTATTTTATAAACACTTCTTTTGCTTTACATAAAAGAGAATTGAAAATAGTAATAAACTTTCCGTAATCTGTTTTAAAATATGCAGACAATTATATAGATTCAAGCACAGCCATACTTGAGGACAACTATCACGCGAGCAAGCGAGATTCTGTTTGACTAGTTTATCATTATATAAAGTATTCATAAGTTCGAACTAAGTTTTAGATCAATTTTAGTTCATAAGTCTTAAAGATGAAATTATTTCGAGAAATGTTTCAGCAATGGATAGATGAGTGTGGCTGAATCGATCACAATTTAGTTAACTACTACTCTTTATGTATGTACTTATCATTTAGGTTATTTGATTTGTGGGCATGTATATGCTTAGACATGTCTATATGTCTTTATCTATACAAATGATATGTAAAGAAAGTCAAGTTCATAGGTAGTGCATAACTGAAGATTCGACCCAAACTGAAATTTATGCCTTTCTCGCTTTAGTTATAAGGAATATAAGCGCGTACCCTAGTAATCTTGCGCTTCAGCGATTTTGATTATATGTACAAAGCATAAAGTGTCGTTATATCAAATTTAATACACACATATACATACGTACACATGAAAAAGGAAAATGAAAATGAAGTGGATATGCACCCTAGTCTTGATTTATAACATATCGATGCATCAATCTACAAACTGCATGAATGCATTATTTGGAGGGAACGTGTTTTGTCATTTATCAACATCAAAATAGAGACAAAAGACCTGCCCGCGCCCTTACAGCCAAGTACAAAACACAATGCGTAACAATATTTTTAGTAGCATACGCTCTTTATGCTAAATGCTTTTTTTCCATTAACTTTTCATTCGCTGTATTTGCAGTAAACAAACACACATGGTTTTTTTTTTGTTTTATTAGCTTTTCTTTTTTTTTTTTTTTTTTTTTTTTTTTTTTTACATACTCTGATCTCTTTTTATATTGAGGTTGTAAAAATTTTAAAGTTTTAATAGAAATTCAAATATTTTTTCAAAATTTAGTTGATTTGCAACAATCGCGTAGAACAGTCGATTAGCGTTAACTCGTTAACCTATGTTAAAGTTGAATGATTTTAAAGTGGGTGAGTTTCAGAGGATTTTGTATTTAAAGTAAACGTCGTATTAAATCATTGCAATCAAACTCTGGATAATAATTATGACATAATTAGTACAAATGTTCTATAAATGTAAAACGTGTGTTTAAACGGCGAAAAAGAGAAAAGAGAAATGTTTTTGAAAACATAACGCGATCATTAGAATCGTTAATTGCGTTTGGTAGAAATTTGTGCAAAATTCTAGATTAATATCAAGAGACATATATATATATAACTTTTAATGATTTTGTTTCTTAGGGCATTTTGTTTGGTTTTTTGTTCCTTCGTTACGCGGATCAAGTTCACATCTAAATTTGATCTGACGAAATTAAAGTGCATGAAAGCTTATAGGTTCCTTTTCCAAATTTTCGTAATCTTAGACCTCGAACGAATGGATTGATAAGCCAGAAATGGGTAAACTTGGATTAGCCTTAGATTTTTCAACTTAAACAAACTTTTGATATGATATAAAACTTTATTACAAATGCTAAGAGAAGGTTCTTCGATTTCAATAAAAGATACGCAAAAATGTTTAAAGAATAACAATTATATAAGCAATTAACTGCTTACTATCTATAATCATAAGTAAGCAAAAAGAAAGAAAGCTAATCAACTGGGACCCAGTAAAAATATCTTATAATTTTGAAATATGGGATCCACATCTACTATAAGTTGTGAGCTAGTGATAAAAATGATTTTCGACTTATCATAAACTATTTTCGATTTTTAGCGGATTTCTATGTGTCGCGATCGCTTTTTGCTGTTTACCTTGGGTACCGTACCCAAGCGGTTGGAAGTGGGCATTCGCCTGTACTTGTTATATTGTGGTTTCGTTTTCATATTCGAACATCGTACATATGCTAACAATATAAATCAGACGGACAGACTTAACTTGATAAGGAATATGCGTCCTCCATAGAGCTTTTCAGAATGTCTATGGGCTTTACAACTGGAATAAGATATCTAGTTCTATCTCTCCCAAGCTCTTCAGCTCTCGATATAAAGATTAAATTTCAAAAAATATTTAGTTCGATATTCTTTTTTATTTTTTTTTTTGGGAATTTTTGTAAAAACACTTGGAACTGAAATTTATTTAATTACTTAAGAAAAAAAAAAAAAAGAAGAATAATTTAAAAGTTTGTGCAAAAGTTTTTTTAAGAAAAATTTTCATTCTTTAATTTCAGTGTCTATTAAAAAATTCAATTTAAGTCTCAATAAGCGATAATAGGCGGCATTATGCGCTTTTGTCATTCTTATTATTTGCAAGCCTTTATTCTACTGATTTATTATCCAAGCATACTAACATTGCAAATACCTAAAGACGTGGAAATTTTGGATGGTTACGAGTTCGATGACTCTCCCGAATATTATGGCAGTGATGTCAGCTATTATGAAGCTCGTAGTATGTCTACGGGTTTCAATAATAAAGTTATTCGCAATAAACGCTCATCGTTAGAATACGATCAAGCAAAAGGCTTAACGAGTAATTCGGATTTTAATAATAATAAAAAAAAAGTAAAAGATAATCATATACATAAAGTTGAATCGGAACGAGTAGAGTTTTATGAGCCACGTAATGTACAAAGCGAAAACCTAACTAATACAGAAGATGAAAAGCAGGAATCTTTGCCAAAAGCTGAAAAGCAAATAATGGATCCGGATTATGATTATTATTCACAAAGACATATAGCCGGTTGGCATAAACTTGAAAGGGTTGATAATGTCGAAGACGATGTCCTGCCAGAGGCAACAACGGGTTACGCGAGTCATGGCCGTCAGGCTAGAGTCAATTTTATAACTCAACCACGGAAAGAGAATGAATCGGCCAAAGAGCTGCCCGAGCCAGTGGTAACTAAAGTAACTGCTCCTACAGTTAGGCATCATTATGATCAAAAGTATGCTGCCTTCACTCCAGCCTACAATTATGAAATGTATCCTTCTAGATCTTACGATCCTTATCTAAGACGGTATGACAGGTATTTACCATAAAAGAAATAAAAAAAAAGAAAAGAAATTTTTTCATTTTTCTTTTATTTTTTTTTTACTAAATTAATTTATTCTTCCATTAATCTTTTAGATATGATGAGCAATATTCACGCTATGATCCGTACAATTATGAGACACATTTTCTTTATCGTCGCCATTATGATCCCTATGACAGTTATAGTCCTCGGATGCCTCAGTATCCTGAACCATATTATAATTATCCTGATCGTCGCTATGATATCCCTGAACCTCGTGAATATCAACCGATTTACAATAATGAAATATATGATAAATCAGCTGCATACACTCCTCTCACTTATCCAGATTCGTATGCAGCCCCCACTGCTTATTCTAAAGATTATCCTCGCAATTACCGACGTATCGTTTACTACGCTCACTTACCGGAAATTGTACGCACACCTTACGATTATGCAGGTCCGAATAGTCGTTACGATTACGATCGTGATCGTTATACAGGTTTGTTAAGTACTACTAAGCCGCGTTCAACAATTTATAAACTTGAAAAACCAGGAGGTATTACTATAACAACAAATTCGAATGCTGACTCAAATCCATATGATTACATGAAAAGAGATAAGAAAGAACGTGTCACACCAAAACCTATCAAATCAAATCACAATGGACGTCAATAGTTGAAAAACTTAGATAAAGAAACACAGGAAGAGAAAATAGTTTTAGCATAGAAATGAAAATATTATGAAAGGGAGACAATAATATATATATATAATTATCACGTGTGTACTGAGCAACATTACAGAGACATCATACGCCACACGCCTTTTTTTTTTTGTGTTTGAGATTTTCATGACTTAACAACCTCCTCTTTGCTTCTATTAAAAGCGATATAGGAAAGTCTTACCGCATGTATTGCTCCATAAGGTTTAATTTGATTCAAAATTGCAAAGTTGTTATGAGAAGGAAACGTGTTGTTCCCTCTTAAGGGATTAGGGATCGCTTACGAGACCAGAATGCGATTGTATGTGTAACTTCATATCCTTTATCATTGTGAAAAGGATTAAAATTGTCTTTTCATCTGCAACTTATTTCCTCTACAAGAGGAAATAAGAGGATACTAATACTTAAGTAGAAAAAACAATTCTGGAGTCCATTGGAGACAATTGATTTTTTATTTAATTCGCATTTCTGTGTGTAAAAGCGAAGAGCCAGAATAATTATTCAGAAATTTGTATCTAAAACTTTTAAAATTGCGCTATAAATAAGAAGCGATCAGACTAAAGGTTACCCTTAAAGATGAGTTCTCGTTCAAGAGAGATATTATACCTAAAAATTGACTAAAAATTGATTAAAAGCATTTGAAGAGGAATTCTAGCTCTTCATCTATTTCCCTAAATGTTCATCATCTTAAATCTTAAAAAGGAATCAGGCACACATTAAATATACCGAAAATAGTCCGAATAGATTTTATGAAATCGTTCTTGGTTATGATGGGTATGAAAAATCTGGCATAAGTTGTGTAAAAACTTTTTCTTAAGGTTAGTTAAAAGAAGAAAAAAAAACAAAAAAACAAAAACAAAACAAAATAATGAATTAAAAATTTTTTGTATTCTCTTTTTAGTTTTATAAGATAATTTTGCTTTAAATCGACTTTCATGTTTTTAAAAAAGCCTACGTAGTAAGGATAACATTTTCTTTCTTATCAATTACACCATGCAGCTCGTAGCAGGTGAATGAGGAGCATCTATATGCTCAAAATGGTCATAAAACTTTAAACAAATAAAAAGTATTTTTGTGAAAGATTTTTTTTATTTTTATTTCTGAAATCTGTTATGCAATACGAATTGGGAAAAGCTTATGAGTTAGTTAGTTAGGTTCCTCTTAGTTGGTTAGCATGTACTTCCTATGTATTTATGAGACTTTTCTACGCTGCACTATTAATAGTATAGTACAAGGATAAAGTCAGTTTATATGGATGACTTGAGATAAACGCACTTTTTATTATTATATCGATTGCTTAGCTTGTCTGTCCGTCTGTCCATTTTGTTTTCTTGTACTCAATCTAAAAGGTTGCATATTTTTAAGATATTTTGATGAAATTTGGTATGCCATAATGTTTGAGATCAAGGACGAACGCCATTGGCAACGATTTGCATCGGATCACTTTTCCGACCGCGTTCCATATAACATCTTTTTTTCAAAAGTCATTATATGCATAACACTGCAAAGTAGTGTAGGGTATTTAATGGTGAACCATTAGTTTTTCCCTTACGCTAATTGAATTTGATGACAATTAATTAAGCCTTTGGCGGAAGGACTAAGAAATTTGTCACTTTTTTTCATAACTCATGTAAATTGACAAAACCATCGTCAGTTTAAAGGCAAAACGTAAACTTACCTAAAAGCTACACATTGTTACTTCAAAATGTTGTTAAGTTATTCAATAATTTTTATCGCAGTCCGATGACCATATAAGTCGTTCAACTGGTCTCTAATGGTTTTGGCTTTTTTTTATTATTTATTTATTTACCCATGAAACTCAGTCGATTTCAATTGAATGTTAGAAGTAAATCTTGTACAGAGGCAAGTATAGATCCAAGTTACGAATGAACCCCCAAGTATGCAAAATCTTGGCAACCGATAACAATGAACAACACCAGTTAATTTTCGAATCATATTGGATTGCAAGTCAGTGTAAAAAGTCCGGCATTGAGTTTAGGTGGTAGATATCACTTAGGCGTCTGCAAAATGCAACTCTGAACGGATCGAGCAGCCCATAATTATATTTACATTGACTTAGCTTAATGAAGATAAAGTTCTAAGGAAACGATTAGGGACGCTAAAGTTGATCTCACCAAGTGATGCGGGCGAATCGATAGTACCATTTATTAACTTAATTAGGAGGGAAGCGTCAAAAATATTTTTAAGTTATTTATGGCTCGTATGGAGCATTTCGGGTTAGATTATCGCTTTGTAAGCTTAATTGAAAGTTGGTTGTTTAAAAAGCAGGATATACTGGATACAGTATACAGTCAAATGCCATTTTCTCACTTTGTTTTTCCGGTTAACCCCTTAGTTCAAAAGTTTTTGGCTAATGATCTAAAGAGCTTTCACTCAAGCACAAACATCCGATTGGCATATTTTATTAAATGGCTTCGCAGATCACGTTCACTTGCATTAAATGAACTCTAAAGGGATGCAAAGACAAACGTCTATGCTTAAGGATCAGATATTCAAACCGTATGAATCAACATTTTTAGTTTACAGTTTTTGAATATGCTATGGAATATGCTATGGGAGAGCACGTCCTTCTGTCTTGTTCCCGTTAATGAAAGCCTTCAGAAACGAAATAATCCTCGAAAAGAATATTTTATATGCATCAGCGCAGTCTGTGCTGCTTTTGCTGTTTGCCTTCGTAATATTTAGAAATAAGTATTAGGGACTGATCAAAATAAGATTATGATCAGATTTACTCATACCTGGCTTTTCGTCAAAATTGGATGACAATGTTGAAATTTGCCAAAAGCTCAAGATTTCTGAATTGAATGTAAGACGCCCACAAGTGAGGTCATAATAGGCCAAAAGTCATAACAGTCATAAAAGTCATGGCAGAGATTGATCGAAAATTTGATACAAATATTTCCTAAAAGGCATTTAGAATTTTAGAAATCTTGGACGATTAAAGGGCCTAATCAAAAATAGTAAAATATTTTGTTATGCTTATGAAATGATTTGCATAGATTGGTACGGAGTGAATTTGTTATGTTTACATTTTATGGTCGACTTTAGCGCTCAACACCTCCGGCATTTTCATATCAAAGAATAAAAATCATTGCTTGCAGATGTGTGCAGATAGTTGTGCTTGTTATCTTACATGTCTGGTAAGAAAATGATGTATAATGAATTTTTTCAGCTTATTGAATGAAAACCGAGTGTGTGTGCAAAATATTCGAATGACAGTTTTCTTTATCAATGTTAATCAATTAATTTCGCTTAAATAATCAAAGAGATGTAGAAAAGAGGAAAAAAAAAAAAATTGTTTCCCAAACTTTCTATAAATGCAAGATAAATGACCGCAGAGATGACATTAGCAATGTTTCGAAATAACAAATTATTTACAGTAGATCGGTTACATTACCACATACACATACTCACACTGCAAGTATTTTAATTTAAATAAATACAATAATTATGTAAATACCACGAGAGCCACGATCTGAAATGGAGAGAGAGAGAGAGAGAGAGGAAGTAGTAATTTGAATTCCCCTCCCCCCCGGATGCGTACATAAATGTTAAATTGCATAGCGTCACAGTTTGTTCTTTTTTTTTTTCTATCACTTCCACCCAAAAGAACGGAAATATGTTTAATCTTGCGTTAACAACAGGTTAACGTTGTGATGAAAGTTATGCTTCAACACATTTGCCATCATTGACTGGAAATGAATGACTTGCTCGTTCGCTGGATATGTCAAAAAATTCAAGAACATTCAAACAGTTTGTGTGTTTGTTGTTAATTTTAAATTCATTAAAATTTCTGTCTAATATGATATTTTCAGCCTCACTAAACGATGGGTGGGGTCAATAAGGTGGAGTAAATGTTGCCAATGGCTTTAAAATTTCATTTACAAAAATTGTAAACACAACATTATACTGCAATTACTTGTGTTTACAAGTGTACCTATCTACATATATATATATATATATATATATATATATAAGTATATATGTGTATGTGTATATATATATATATATATGTATATAAATATTGTTAGCAATCAATTGGTTGTAAAAGGCTTTTAATGCACACTCAACAACAACAACAGCAACAATTATGGGGGGAGTAAACAGAGGAAAGCGAGGAGGTGGAAGAGTGGTGGTAGGAGGGAGGGGGGGGGGGGGGAGAAGGCTACTACAGCTACTAGAGTCTCTTATCGTATGCAGAAACCAAAGTGTGTACATTTGTTTATGGTTTACTGGTTTGTTGCTGTTATAGCTATTGTTTGTGTTGTTTTTCTTATTTTTTTTTTTTTTTTTTGTTTTTTTCATCTTTGCTTGTGTGCCATCAAAGGAATTTTCGGAATTCTTAATTAAATTTACAATTAAAATTGCATGCGTTTTACCAAAACTTAAATACGTATACACGTAATACGTATACACATGAACATATATATATATATATATATATATATATATAGCTATAGCTAACTTATTTTATGGAGCCTGAATTGTCCAACAGAAGCATATAATGGTCTATGCTTAAGGATAACAGTACAAATGAAAAGAAGAAAAATTACAAAAAAAAAAAAAAAAAAACAAAAAAAAAAAAAAAAATAGGATATAAGTAAATCTTTACAATTTTTCAAAGATTTGCAAGCGTTGAATTCACTTAAATTAAACATTTTGTTGGACACATAATATGTTAGCAAATCAGAAAATTATAAACGTCTTAGCGCCAGCGTTCAATGCGATCATTTTCCCATTGTATCATAAGAAATTGTTGTTTAATATTTACGCGAAATTTTATATATATTTTTTTTTATATATGTAAATACAATTTTCGATTGCAATAGCAGACGACGGACGGATGCATTTATAGATTAATACTGATGTAGAAATTGTTCATTAGTAGGTAAAATAAAAAAAAAATTGCGCGAGCAAAAATATTTCGTTAAGCAAACATTTTTACGCGACCCCAGTCTATTCCCCAGTACTATTCAATGAGTTTTGGTCATCCTTTCCGGGAGCAAGAAACTTCTTCAAGTGTTCGCTAAATTAGGCAAATAATGATTTCTAGAACGGACATCTGAAGGTGTGTCGTTACAGTAACGTGTCGTTCTACTGTTGTCCACTTTGCCATTTCTGAGTACCACTTGCGAGCACGAACTAATCTTTGTTTTGGATAAGGGTTAATTCGTGCGATCGTCTTAGTCCCCCTTCGCATTGCAAAGATGAACTATTTCGAAGCACATTGTTAGGCACAATCTCCTTCCTATCGTCCGTTGCTGGCTGTTGTTATCGCGTTCGAAGAAATTCCAAGTTATAAACCATTCAGCGTCGCGTTCATTTGCATCACAAATTCTTACGAATTCTTCTTGAATTCGCTGAATAGTCAGGATTAAGTTTATATCCGATGTCTGTATTTATTCGATGCTTCCATTAAATCTAGAGTATATTCCCCTTTTTAGAATATAAAAAAACTTTTCGAGCAACGAATGCTCTTATTAGGGCCAAATAATTTTCTCATATAGCAGATATATTAGATCTTGCTTGCTGACGATTATAATGAAATCGTTAAATTTCATGCATAACGTTTGACTTGGATGATGGGTATCCAGGATTCATCATCAGACAAGCTCAGTACA